GTCACACAGTCACGCGTGACCGAGTCAGGGCTGAACACAAAATGTACATAAAATCGAAGTCTGTGCACATGATCACTACATCACACTGCCTCATAGGTACCAAAGTAGTCTTGCCAATTTTTAGTCTTTAAATCTAAGGTACAGTTTCTAATATAGAGGGATATCTGCTCATCCTCTGTAGGACAGAGTACAGACAGCTTGGAGATTCTTCCGATGAATCAGGGCTAAGCAGCCACAAATCTTTTTTTAAACACAGCAGAAGCCAATTTCCTTGTTTAATTGTGTGTGAGATGTGGCTGTTTATAAACTATGGCATATTCAGTCATCCATACACAGGTAAAACACTCAAGGTGAAGAGTGAAATTACATCTGTTCACTCACAAGCCTGGTGTCTTCTTAAATGCTTTTCAAACTAATTGCTCTAGGTAGAGGCAAAAGGTGCTTGAGTTTCACAGGGTCATTAGTCTTCCAATGAACTTCATCTTTCCCGCACAGGAGAACATCCTGACAGCATGTTAAGTGTTGATGCTTCTTAACAGGGAAGAGCTTATAATTTTTCATAATTTGGCAAGTGTTCAGGTGTCACTAACATTCAAGTTTTAGCGACTAAGTGTGTACTTTCTCATGAAAATATATACTGATTATTATTAGGAAATGAAAGGGAATTTCTATTAGAATGTTTGGCTGCATCTGTATAATCTCAAAACACATTTCTTTTCTTTCCTATCCAGTTAAGAGCTTAGTAGGTACTGTGAAAAATAAATTGAAATTCTCATTTTGCTTTTCAATATTAAAGAAAGTTTCTTTTTGAAAAAACACATACATACGCACGCATACATACACACAGAGCCATCATGTATTACAAATAGGATATATTTCTGAAAACATTGTGATGTTCAAAATTCAAAATAATACAAAACAAATCCTGATGAACGATGGCCATTTTCTCTGCATATTTATCTTAATCATTTGGTGGTCTTTAACTTACATAAATATTCACACTTTTTTCAATTTATGCCAGTAAAATGAAGCTCGATGGATATCTCTATTTAAAAACTTTGAGATCAAATTTATATAATATACAAACCAAAAGTAAAAGGAGAACTGCATTCAATCTTTCAACACTATATGCACATACGAGAAAGCCTATGTGTAGAAACCAGCCTATTTATCAACAAATAGGTCTGTTTGCAGTTGGACCATATGACACTGGTCCATTATGAAAGTATAGACGGTCCCGTCAAAAACAACAGATATGCATGCACTTTGACAGACGTCTGTGAGTAATTCAGACAGAGGGACATGTGAGCAATTTGGGCTTTAATCTCGAGGCCGAGATGGAGTTGGAGCTGCTTTGAGCAGAGTTTGTTTATCCTGTGTATCTAAAGTCAGAGCCAATAAGTCTCCTCATTTTGAATAGCTTTGAGTGTCTGCTCCCATTTGAACAGAGTTGATAAGCCTGTTTGCAGATTGCTAGGACTCACATCGGAGCTGGTGCACGTGCATTGGTTGGACCTAGACATGTTTTGAAAAATAGCTGTCTCTGCAATTGTATCTGTTTTTGTATTTTGGGCATATGGGTTTCCTTCTTCCTTGAGTGTTCGAGGTAAATGTATACATTGGCAAATGTGACTCTAATGGTTGGCCTATCAACCGGGAGATTAATGAGGGGGCACTGAACAATAGATCAAAAGAAAGTTGTATTGCTGTGTGTTCCTGGGGAAGGATGGGTCAGGGCACAGTGAGAGGACCCAGGTTTCAGATTCTTTAGTCCAGGGAGAAGAATGAAGAGAGAGAAGACGTTCGTAGTAGAGCAGATGGCTAGCAAAAACCTAGAGAGAACAGGAAAACAATTTGAAGGCAGTTAGCTGAGAAAATTTTGAAGAAAGGTAACACTTTTGCAGGAATAACCAGTAAGAATTACGGACTTCAAAAGGTGAGTGTTGGGGATCATGTTAACCTTAATGAATACCTTAAGTAGTTTCTAAACAATGGCAGTTGTTCTTGTTGATAGTTATTTGTTTTTAATTGAATCTGTTTTGTTTTGTTTTGCCCTCTTCACACCGGGTAATATTCAACTGATCCTCAGAAAATCCAATATATCTGTGTCTATAGTTTAGTCAATTGCAAAAATGGACTCAAATCACAAAATTAGAGTAAGTATTATGAGATTTAATTTTCATATTCAACTATTAAAGCCAGGGTCAATTTCCTGGACATGTGACCAATGCATTTGCACAGACCTCACACTCAGAAGGAAGTTCGCCCTTGAGGTTCAATGCTTTGTGGACACCATCTTGAAATTCTTAATAACTTTGTCTTTGAATTGGAGTTTTGTAGGCAAAGATTGATGGCACAATGGAGCATGAGCTAGGGAGTTGCAAACTTGGCAAACACAGTCCTGCCTCCCTCTGCCTTCCAGCCTCCCTGAGATGTATTCTTAACCATCTGCTCCCTTCCTCCAGCCAGCAACCACTGTCGCCCTTCACAATCCACCTGTGAATTGGCTTGGCTCGGTTGCAGGGAATGTTGGGCTGTGGTGCATGTACTCTGCATGTTGAGTAGTGGGATGGGGACCTGAGTTCCTGCAAGGGTCTGACTCACCCTTGAATATCCCTGGGCCCAAGGGAGCACAAATAAAAAATAATCACCACCATGACAGAGAGAGAGAGAGAGCGCCTAAGACAGGAAAGAGGGAAAAAACAAAAACCTTTGTACTGCTTCTTGAACAAGGGGTTCTACATTTTCATTCTGAATTGGGCCCCACAAATTATGTAGTTGATTGAGATTAAAGATTCCTCTAACAGTGATTATCTAGTCCAGTGTTATTCAAATGTTGCGTAAGGAATAGGACTCACTTTTCAAAGAAGCATTATGGGAATCACCAATAGTTAAAAGAGATCAAAGCAAAGCTGCTTTTTCCTGACACATGCATTCTGTTTCCCTGCTCCTTGTCTGCCCACAGACAACCTACCGCACAGGTCTGCAAACCCTGTGGCTGTGAGGAATACAACTTGAAAACCCCATTGACTCCCCCAAACTCTTCATTACGGAAGTGGAAACCTAAGCCCAGAAATTAAGTAACTTTTCCACGTTCACAAAATGTTTTATGGTTAAATCCTGACTGGAGTCCAGATTTCTTGATTTCTAGTACCATGTCTTTTTTTTTTTTTTTTTTCTCTCATGACATCCATTTACTGCTTCCCCTAAGATATGCTCTTGCAGTTTAGGGAGGAACGAACCTGCCTTCTTTATGTTTAAGGATGCCTGAGATGGCCTCCATCAGCAGCACGTTGGTGTGGCTGAAACTTACCATGAGTTTGTCCCATGCCAGGACGTAAATCCTTCTTATTCACCTCTATTTCCCCTTCTCCTTCACATCTCCTGCCTGTCCACTGTGTACTTTCTGTATGCTAGATACTGAGCTGAGAGCTTTGCGAAGCTCAATTCTGACAGTATCTCTCTGTGGTCAGAGACCCTTAAAATGGTTAAGTGAAGTTTGCCCACTGGAGAGCAGAGCTGGGATGTGAACACAAATCTGGCTGCCTCCATAGTCCTGGGCACTTCTCTTTAGGTAAGCAGCCTCCTTTTCTGAAAGGAGGCAAACTCGGGACTAGTCACTCCTGTGTTCTCAGTCCTCTGCAACCCTCTTCAGCCAACCACCAGGAGAGATTTGAGGCATCAGACTGACCTCTCGTTCCCTCTCGGAGGAGATTACAAGACTCACTTATTGCAGGTGGCTGCCTGGGTGCCAGCATCTCCTGGATTCCCAAGGATGGGAAGGAGATGACTGTCAATGGGACCTCAAATAGGGTTGCCGAAGGTGTGTGTCTCAAGAGTATGCTCTAGGGGAAAACAAAATCATAATTTTTAATTACCGTGCAAACTTCTGAGACTGCAGCCCCAGTTGGAGTTTAAGAGTTGCCAGAGCCTCCTGCTGCCTTGGGCTGTTTTCCAGCAGCCGCTCTTGGAAAGTTGACAAATTTTACCCAAGAGGGGCAACCCTGCTGCAACTTCTTATTTTGATCAATCATAACATATAAGGAATTTGCTACAATTGATGCCCTGAACCACTGGGTCCTGGGCACCAAGTGTGTTTACTGCACTAAAGGAAGGGGGAAGTTTAAAACATTAGTCGTCTGTTTTATCAAGATTGCTCTTTTTTATGCCTCAAATAATTGAAATACGTGCTTTCACAGCCTCTAATCGCAATCTTCAAATATCACCTGTTTGAAAAATAATCAGCAGAGGTTTGGAAATATCATTAGCCAAATTTTAAACTATTTTACAGAGCGATTATGCTTGACTTCTGTGTTTGATTAAGTAAGTACTCATTTTGGGTGGCTTTATTATTTTTGGATAAGTCTCTCAGCTTAATCAACACTGAAAATTTCCTTCCCAGACACACAAAGAATGAGGTTCTCATGCTAACATTTGGAATGATTGCTTTGCAACTTAAACATTATTTAAAATATAATACCCCTATGCATTAGAAATGCTCAGTATATGTGGAAGGTAGTTTTCTGATTTTAAAATTTGTATCATATTTCCAGGGGCCCATAACTACCCTGTCCTTGAATGCTTCAACTGAGCAATACAAAATAATAATACCGCTTCCACTGTCCGCATTCATGTATTTGTTCTACAATGTTTATTGAATATCTGTTATTTTCCAAGCCTTGCACTAAGTGCTGGGGGTATGGGGATGGGTTGGCTCCACCCACTCCCCCGTAGGTAATTGATAACAAAATTTTTAAGTGTAATGATTGAAATGGGTACTGGGTACAGCAAAGACAGGAAAGAAAGGGTGGTTGGTACTCCATGGGGGTTGGGAAATATGTGCTGGGAGAAAGGAAGTTCAAGACACTTCATAGAAGGCAAAAGGACAGAGGAGACAAAGAAAAGCTGTAGGCAGAATTCAATTAATTTACACATACTGCTTTATTAGTCCCTATGTTATTTAATTTACATGATTCTCTTTGGCTTTTGTACTACACCAGGAGTTACAGAACCAGGGGATTGTCTCCATTTTACCAGCGAAATTGTTTGGGGAGAAGATCAAGTAGAAGGTAAGAGACAGAAGCAAGACTAATTCCAGTATTTTCTGCTTTTATTTTTAACCTTAGTCAGTCTCTTTCCATTACACAAGAGGGACCTGAGCCAAGTGAGGGCTGGGCACTGGCCTGATACTCTGAGCTGTCACTGTCCTTAATGCCCATCTTCATGACTCAGGGACATTGCAACAAGAACACAGTCGCTCATCCAAGCTAGAACACAACTCTGGTGTCATAAAAATAAAGGAGCCCTTGGAATCAGGACACCAAATTCATATCAGTGCACTGCCATCCACTAGCAGGGCAACCAGGACCGAACCACTTGGCCCATTAGTAAGTTTCCTGTTCTGAACAATCAGTCAGGCCCTCGTCACAGAGTTACTGCACAGGCATGTTTCTGCTTAAGAAGAAGGGAACATATTTGATTTTAGTTGAATCTAAATTTTAATCACTTGCCAAGATATGGAAGAAACCAAAGTGCCCATTAACAGATGAATGGATAAAGAAGCTGTGGCGTGTGTGTGTGTGTATATATACGTGTGTGTGTGTGTGTGTTTATATAGATGTGTGTGTAATGGAATACTACTCAGCCATAAAAAGGACAAAATTTTGCCATTTGCAGGAACTTAGACGGATTTGGAAGGCATTATGCTAAGTGAAATAAGTCAGATAGACAAATACTATATGATATCACTTATATGTGGAATCTAAAAAATACAACAAACTGGCGAATATAACGACAACAACAAAAAAAAGGAGACTCACAGATTTAGAGAACAAACCAGTGGCTACCAGTGGGGAGGGGCTTGGGAAGGGCAATTTAAGGGTTGGGGAGTGGGAGGTACAAACTATTGGGTGTAAGCTAGGCTCAAGGATGTACAATATGGTGAATATAGCTAATATTTTATAATATAAATGGAAAGTAACCTTTAAAAAGTGTTTAAGTTTTAAAAATAATTTAAAATTCAATTCCTCACTAGACTTCTATTCCAGACCCGTCTTCATAGCAACCTGTAATCCATAGCAACCACCTCCACCGACCTCCAAACCCATCAAAATGATGGAAAGCTATGGAAAAGTTGTAAGCTGTGGAGTGACAAGGTCAAAAGTGCTTTTAAATTCATCTTTCCTCTTCATATTACATTTCCTTTATAGCTTTATTCGTCTCATTGAAAATTTTTTTACAGAAAAGATTTGACTTACAATCCCTTACTCATGTCCAAGTACTCCATCCCAGTTCCATTACTGAAGGGAGGAGGTCCAGCATCTCACTACACGGATACAGGGAAACGTGGACCATTGAGCCCACGTTTGGAATCAATCTACCGCAAGAAAGGGGCAGAAATGAGGAACCTCCCTCCACAGCTTTAGTAAAATGATGCCCAGAAGTAAAGTCAGCCATGATTTTAGGTGATTTGTTTTCCTTAATGGATCAATTTCTGATCATTCTGTCTACACTGAAACTGTGGCTCTGAACATGGGAATTCCTTTAACATTCAGGTTTGGCAGGGTCATCAGTGAACAAGGATCCAGTAGGCAGGGGAACTCACAGGCTGTAGCCAGGCCCCATCAAGTTGGCATTCAGAAAACAGGGCAACAAGTTAGAGGAGGGAGCAGATGGATTTGTACAAGTTAGGAGGGGCAGGGAGGGGGAACTGAATGACCTAAGTGGCCGAATAGTCCAAGCTCTCTCCATCGCTGTGAGTAATGATTTGATAAATGAAAATATGTTCTGTAGCTGACAGGCCACTACATCACCATTGTGTGTTTTGCTTTAAACCACGAGAGCCAGAGAGGAGGTTCCTTATGCTGTTTGCAAATGGAAACTAATGATTTATGTTCTCACACATGGACTTGCAAGCCGGGACTGCGTCACTGTTTTCCAGATTGTAAGCTGCCCGCTCAAGTGGCCCAGCAGGCGTTCCCAGCATAGCGTGTGTCTGCCTCCAGCCTCTCCCGTGTATGTTTCTGCTATGGTGATTTCAGATCACTTACACTGTGGAGAAAGACAGAAAATAATTAAGCATGACAGTTTATTAGAGATGTCTGCCTAAGATTCTATGGCATGCTGCATCAGATTTGAAAGCAAAAATGTATTATTTCAGTGAAGCGATTTGGTAAAAGATTAAGATGTGTGAAAGGCATCTTTTATGATGTTAGAATATTGTGGCATGGAATTTACAGTTACAGGTGTTTAAAATGTTTACTATCAAAATGCATGTTTGCCTATGTTGAACAAACTCGAGACAGACACCTCCAGGTGTTTTTACCCTTTTTTTTCCCTAGTCATCGTCCAGGAAAAGTAGGTTTCAAATATCTCACTCATTCTTTAACCATATCATGTAACTATGAGTCAGTTACATACGTGGGTGGATCAGAGTCCAAATTATGTTGCTTGTATCTTGGCACCGGATTAACAAATAGAGCTTCTTAATGGAACTTTAAATCTACTTATATTGCTTGAATGTCAAATGTGATTTCATCATTTGGATCAGTGATGCCCAGATACAGGTTTCCCAATTCTAAAGTTTCTTTCCACAGTATAGATATAATGAATCTGTGACTAAGTTAATTCCCATCACAAATTTTACATATATTAATCAACATAAATACAAACCTTTTACTAAGAGTTGTCATGTAGAATGTGAAACATTTAGACTCACTGGTTTTGTTTTGTTTTTGATCAATGACTAAAATTTAGAGTATCTCTGCAGTCTAAAACAGAATTTCCTGCTGGGAAGTTTGCTCAAGAAAGAATTTCTTATGAGTTATAGGTAATACAAAAGATTTGGGGGAAGATTTGCATATTCACCCATTTTAAAAATTCTTCCAGAACCATTCTCATAGGACACTTTGCTAGTTCCCTGTGATCAAGGAGTTTAGATTGTAGTGGCCACTTGCTGGATCTTGTTGAAATAATATTTTTAAAAGAGATACATCAGATTGTGAAGCATTAAACATGAGAAAAATCCAGTTTTGGCAAGGACTTGGGGGAAATGGCTGCTCTCAAATATTGCTGTTAGAAGTATTAATTATTAGTATATGTTACAAATATTAATTAGTACAATCTCTCTGGAGGGCAATTTGGCAACAGGTATGAGAAGCTATAAAATATGCATTCCCTTCCACTCATTAATTCTACGAAGATTTTCACTCAATGGATTGGACACATATTTATGCACAAATATGTAGAAAAGTATGTTCAATTCAGCATTCTTACTTCCAGTTAAAATTAGAAGCAATCTAAATGCCCATTAGTTAAAGACTGGTCAAATAAACTACTGTACATTCAAAAAAACAAGCAGTATAACCAGTAAAGTAATGGTATAAATTTGAATGAAATGATGTTTAAAATGGTCTCAAATATTGTTAAGTGAAAAAGCAGGATACAGGACAGGGCATTTTTGATTCCATTCCGGTAGCTATAGAAGTAACTTTATGCACATGTGTGCATACTCATTCATATATGTCAATATTCATGTGAATTTACATGTGTACGCACATCAAGTCAGTAGCAAAGTGAACAAAGTATAAAGGCTAGTTATAAAGGGATGCTATGATGACAATAAAGATGATTGTTGCTTTTTATTTCTATTTTCAAATTTTCCATTTAAATTTCTTAACCTGGATTACTTGTACAAAAATAAATGCATCAATGTAGAGTAAGCTTATTCAGCTGAGTATATGTCCTTAAAACAGAAACTAAGCTGCTGCCCAGATATAATTCATTGCCCAGACTACTCTGGCTGCTAACAAACTCTTGAGACCACTTGAATAACTTATCCCAAGACAGGTAGGTAGCTAATACAGCATCGGATGGATGATTTATCTAAAGTTATTCTTATAGAAAATCTCTCAATAACATATTTTCCTTGTCTCTTCCAAGTTTCCTTTCACCCAGAGCATTTTAACCACTCTTTTTTCCCCTGTCCTAATGATTAATTTGTGCTTGGGACAGAGACACGGACCCCACCGCCACTCCCCAGCATAAATCAGGATATAGCATTGCTTGGCACTAACACACAGTGTTTTAGTTCACAGCGACCCACATTCTCTAGCTGTATTTTCTTATAAAACCTCTTCCATCCTCACAGCCTCTGCCTCAGACTGAGAAGGAGGAAGAATATTCAGGCTTCCAAACGCAGCAAGAATTTGGATAGATTCCCCAGACAACTTACTCATTTTTTTTCTTACTGGTTTCTGGCTGAGATATGTGATGCTGGAACATTATAAATCCACATCTCAGTTTTTTTTTTAAATAAGGAAATACCTCAGTAAAGAAACAAAAGCTCCTGAATTGGATGCCCTTAGAAATCTATCCAGCTAGGAACAACCTTTGAAAGAAGCAGTCTAAGTGCTAAAAGCACTTGTACGTGGATATCTGCTTTTTCATGTTATTGAGAATGATTTAGGAAAGTAGAGATGGTTCAGTGTCAAAGTACTTTCTGCTTACTAAGTCCTCAAACTGAGATGCAGAGGTTATCTGGCTTCTCGTCATAGCCAAAACGTGGCAATTACCAGAGGAAGGAGCTAGCTAGTGAGATCCATTTGTATAAGTGGTCCTGATAAGTCCTTTTAATAAATTTGTCAAGGAATTATTTTTTTTCAAAAAAATACTGAAATATAATTCACTCACTACAAAATTCACCTTTTTTAAGTGTGCAATTCAAAAAACAAATGCTTCTTAGTATACTCACAGAGCTGTGCAGTCATCATCACAGTCTAATCCAGAACCTTTCATCACCCCATACCGAAGTCCCCTGCCTGTTAGCAGCCACTCCCCATCCCTGCTTCCTCCCGGTTCTAGGTGACCACTAGTCTGTTTCCTGCCGCCATGGATTTAGTTATTGTGGACATTGTGAAGGAATTCTTAACATGTTCATTTTAAGGATGATGGAGCCCAGAGACTAAACAAGCTGTCTGGGGTTATAGTATTTGCGTGTGGCCCAGCCAGAATTTGACCTGACATCTTCACATTGTTGGTCACATTTGAGAGAGGGAGGACAGAACTGGGGAGAAAAGCATTAACAGAGTGAAAGGAGGATATGTGAAGTATTTGCTGAAATTAGAACCAGTAATAACTCTCTTCTTTGACCGAGGTCTGAACCAATCAACAGATTAGAGTAAGGCAGATGGGAGAGCAAAAAAATGTCTTCATTACTGACAAAGTTCATGTGGGAGGAAGTGGCTAATAGCTTGGGGAAAACAGACTTATCAATACAAAGTTCAGAATTAAGGCAGGCATCCTCATCTAGATACAGAACATTCTGGAAAACCACAGCCTCCCCTCTGGGAGCAGGCAGGGAACAAACAATAGCCTCTGTTCTCGGTAGGAAGGCTACCGCCAAGAAAGAGGAAAAGAGTGAGGCAAGCTGAGAATGCCTACTTTATTCTTCCTCAACTTACCAATAAGGAAGTCTTTCCTTTCCCCGTGGACAAGAAAAGGAAAGAAGAGAGGCCAGGAATGATACACGTGTGGCGCTTCCTCCGCACAGAGGAAACATCAGAAGTGGGGAGGAGTCTTTCCCACACAATAGTTTTAGACCGTGCAGTCTGATAATGTCAAGCACCAAATAGTGTTTTTTTCTTTTTTAGCTATCATGCATTTTATGGATTCCTGGGGTAAAAATAAAGAGGCTGTGACAAACCAGGAGAACTGTGTCTTCTCCATCATTCCTCCTCCCCTCCATGGCATCACTTTCTGCCACTCCCTGCCCCAGAGAAAGGATGTATAACTGTGACTTCGAGGAGGAAGACTTTATTTGTAGAAGGAAGGAGGGTTTTAGAGGTGAGATTCCCAGGTAGGAAGGGCAGTGGAGGAGCACCTAACTGATACGTCCTTCAAGTTCTTCAAGTTGGAAGAATCCACAGGGTAGACAAGGAGGTGATTTTTCTCCACCGGTGGAGTCAGATGAGAGAGAGCGTAGATGTGTCCTGGGACTCTGGGACGTGAGAGAGGAGGAGGTAACAGCTCCAGGACCCACAACCCACAGGTGGAAGAGAGGAGATTCAGAAGTGCATCTTGGCAAAGAGATTACTGTAAATTAGTTGACAGAAAGGCTTGGGTCACAGGCCCTGGATGTGACATGGTCAGGAGAAGTGAGTCTCCCAGTGCAGGTGTGGAGTGTGTCACTGACTGGTTTCACAGCTGAAAAGTCTGAGGAGAATCAACAAGGTTGAAGATGCTGTGTGGAAACTCAAATAGTCTCTCAACACAGTCGGGCAGAGCAACCACTGAGTATCAACATGAAGCAGACAAGTGTAGAAGTTGAATCCCGCCAGCAATATATCAGCATGTGGCCAGTCGTGAACCCTTGGCCCTCTGCTTGCATGAGAGGCTGCCTTCTCCCCTGCTTCTGTTCCACTCTTGAGAATTGAGGATGGACATCAGGTGAAGAAAAGGACTAAGAGCTTTGAACTGAATTGAACTTGAGATAGCCATCCTGAATTTACACAGAAAGTCCTGGATTGAACCAAGAAATTCCCCCAGAAAGACTTTATTAGTTATTCTGTTAAGAAATGGGGGCTCACAAACTAAGTTTAGAAAAGTTTCCTTTTGCATATATGGGTTTTGTAAATTATTTTAAAGGTGAGTCAGTATAACCTTATCCACAATTTTATTGTGCTGTTGGGTTGTGCTTTTCTTCTAACCACTTCCACTTCAACTGGGTCTTGGGGGCCAGTTGAATAGACAAATTACAAACTATCAAATATGCTGTAATTAACAGAGGAGCAGATTTTTACAGACCCAATTCAAAAGTGTTCCAAGGAAGATAATTGTAAGTGCTTTCACAAGAGAGTAATCGTTCTCAGTGGTTCTTTGGACTTCAACCAAGACCCTCCAATGAAATAAATCCAGAATTGCAGCTCTTGACAGCAGTAGCTGAGAAGTGGATGTTTGGAGGATGTAATCTCTATGACAACCTTGTGCTTAAAGAGAGTTCTCTTTAGATTACATCAGTGATGCAAATTTCCTTGATGGATGATGTAATGGGTTTTTAACACTCATTTTCTATTTCTCTGTTTTGTGTAGATGATGATGTAAAAGGCTGAACCAAAAATAACAACCAGTCTTACATATGCCGTTTCTCTTCTGCATTGGTAAGTTACAGCTGTGGTCTCCACAGGGTTAATTAAAAGGTGTTTATGAATTACCATCAGCATATGGATTTATCTAGATGTTCCACAATACATGATCCAAGAATCTTAGGATCAGAGAGCTAAAATAGACTTCAGGATTTTTCTAGTCCCCTCTCCTGACCCCAGTCTACAGATCATGGTTCCAAGGTTCAGAAAAGAATCGTTATTTGGTTAAGATGACTGAATTTGCTTGTGGCAAAACCTAGATCTTGGGAAAAGACATATTTGAACTTCTTGTACTTGCAAGCAATATAAACTTATTTCAATTCGGTTCCACAGAAAAAATAATCAATGAAGTTGTGTTATTAATCCAAAATCAGGCAGGCTGTCATAGAGCTTCAGCGCCTGGCTTCTGAGCTGAGTTTCTGAATTTCAAAACTTGATACTTTCTCTCGTCAGCAGTGTAAATGCATGAGTAACTTAACCTCTAAAGCCTAAATTTCTCATTTGTATAACGGAAAAATTAATAGGGTCTACCCTATAGAGCCCTTGTGAGGGTTAAATGAGTTAATCCATATGAAGAATTTAGAACAGAGGGCTATGCAGTGAGACCCAATAATGTTCTCTCTTCATATATGTAGGGACATGCACCCAAGGAGGGATCAGATCAGACAATGATTTGAGCCCAGTGGAGAGTGTGGGGGCCCACATTTTTGTATTTATGTGTGCAGTCTGTTCACACACAGACGCAATGTTACTGAATTGGGTAGGGATGTAATATTACTGAGAAAGACTAAGGATTCCTGATTAATTCAACCCTGTGGTTTTGGATATCACCCTTTTTTTCTCTTGGCTATTTTTCCTTTCTTCCTTCCTATTATTTCTAAGATAATTAGGAGAGTTTTAAAGGAAAAGAGAAAATTAAAAGCAGCTGGTGGAACTCTTCAGACTCTTTTACTGAACTCTGAAAATGTACAGGGAGTGACCTAAATTCTAACACAGAACATCCCATGGACGTCCTAGAATTCCAGATGCAAACCCTTTCCCCCTGACGAGCCCAGTTCCCCTCCCTGGGTCTCTCGGCCGGGAAATTCCTGTTTGCGAATCTTAGCGCATCTTCATTTGGATGAATCCTGGGAACCCAGACATTTCACGCAGCATCTGGGAGACATGGGAAACCCTTCAGCTTGCCTCCCCAGAGTTATCTGGAGATGAGAAACATCTGTTACCATCCTTTCAGTAACCGGGTATTTGATGGGTTTATTTTTCTGCTTTGCTTTGGATATTCTCAGCTCAGCAAGATATTTTCCATAAAGAAGTCATTGAAAATAAGGTATGATAAACTCATGAACTCAAGGTGTTATCAGTTACAAAAATACTATAAAACATCCCAGCTATATTCATCTCCCATGATTAGACAATTACAGTTAAGATATTTAAAAGATTGTGCTTTTGGCTCTTTGGAGAACAGTGCCCGAGAAACAAGCTATCTGTTAGGGGTTTAAATACAACTGGAAGAAGTAAAACGTGCAGTGAAACAGGTGCAAGGGTGTTAGAGTCATTGAAGCATTGATGTAACTGTCTTAAGTCCCATAAAAGAGTAGCATTTGGCAGGTCTCTATGTAAGTGAGGTTAGGTTTGCCAGAAAAGTAAAATAACACTACTGGTAAGTGGGAAAAAAAAACATACCCTATCAGAATTTCCCTGCATTCCATCCAGAACTTCTATGAAACCTTAGTAATAGGCTGATTCATCACATATAAATTCCATTCCCAAAAATAAAAAGGAGCTATCATTTTCCCACTATTGCTCTGGAGAGAAGCAAAGAGCAATATTGAAAATAAATTTACTAATTTCTTGTTCATAAAGAAATCTGGCATTTTGCTTAGTGGCTATTTCTCCCTTCACCTCCACCTCACTAAGGTAGTAATGTGAAAGTAAATGGAATAGCCAAAGTGATCAAAACTGAATTATAAACTATTATTTTTTAATTGAATGGCTTTGGTTTTATTACATAGATGAATATAGGTGAGCTGACCTGATCACAGTTATTCACCTGAATTTCAAATTGAAGTAATTCACCTCATCCATTCAAGCAGCTAAGCAACTTACATTAAGTCTATGGCTGCAAATCAGATGGATGGCTGTAATTGGGGTTTAAATTACGTGGAATTCATAGATCACAGGATCTAGAATTTTTTTCCTCATGGGTGTGGGGAGAGGACAGGCTGGGAAACATGTCCTTGGATGAGTCACTGGAAACATTTTTTTTTTTAACTATTAAAGATCTGTTTACAGTCTCCAGTGTCCCTTTTGGATTGCATGTTAGCTAAATAAAATGACCACCATCTTCTGTTTATAACTGAGAGATTCCTGCGGCTGTGGACCTTCAACTCTGGAGACTAAACTTAACTCACAGAGACACTTCCCCCTCCAAGTCCCCACTCCACCTTTTCTTACCTATAAGACTTTGTAATGACTCCCCTTCAGTTCAGGAATGAATGCTCTAGAAGTATTGCTTCGGAGTGTATACTGGTGTGTGTGAAGATGATAATGCTGATAGTTACTTGCTTAGCTGGGGACCATAAATAAAAGTGCATTAGCTAAACTCATTAAGCATAGATTGGACTGAGCTAGCACCCAGAGGAAAACAAATTGTAATCATATGTGTCACCTCACTTTCAAGGTAAGAAGGCCATAATATAGAGAAGATAAGGGAGAGGTTCTACCCTGGGGTCAACAATCTAAGCTTCTGACTGCTGATTCATATAAAACAATTTCCCTAACTGGGTGGATAAAACTTCAGTAAGCCAACCCCAGAGAAGAGCTTCAAGACCATTTCCATGGCAACTGTTGGCTTTCCCCTAACATCTACTCATCTGGTTGAGGAACTGACCATAATTTGATTAAATGTGATGGATTCCTTATGGAAGGGAAGACAGGTGGGGGGGGGGGGTTGAGGGCAGGCAGTGGCTCTATCTTTGTTCAGTAAGAAGACAAAGGATCTGAGAGAGGGTTTGGTCCTGCCTCTGACCTCTTAGTTTCTCCACTATTGTTCTCATAAATAGATAAATAGAGTTAGGAAGAAGGATGAAAATGAACACCTCACATGTCATGCCTGTCTACCTTTGCTCTCCATTTGTTGGCCAGGGTCAAACTTACATGCTACAAGCAAAGGTTTTCTGTATGCAGTGTTGTGCAAAAACAGCTCAGGTTTTGATATTCAAACCAAAAAGACAATTTCATTGCCATTAATCAAGCACTGTGGGGTTTTTTTTCTTTTCAGTAGAGGTACTGAGGATTGAACCCAGTTGAACCCAGGACCCCATGCATGCTAAGCAGGTGCTCTACCACTAAGCCATACCCTCTCCCCAAGCATTGTGTTGATAAATGTCTAAAGAAAACTTTCTCGGATGGACTAGTGTCTTCTGAAATATCAGTATATTCATCATTTTAAAAATTCTGTGGTCTAATCAGTTTGGAATTCACAGGTGAAATGGTTAAACCAAGTTAAGTAGGTTCATTTTCTGTAGGAATTCTCACAGCCTTTAATATATTAGCTGTTCTAGCTCTAAACGGTATTATCAGACAGAGAAAGAGATAGGAGAGAAAAAGTACATATGAATTGCTTTAGGGAGGCAATCACCCACATCTGCCACAATGTCGTCACATGCATTATGGCCCCTCTATGGCCAGGGAAAAGGGATACATTTTATTGCACTTAAGCATCAGTTATCTTTTAGACAATGGCCACCAGCATCTTACAGTTACACAGTTGGGGAAATGGAGGTAGAGTGTACAGCCCTTGCCTCAAATCTTGTAGATCATTGTTATGTGAGTTCATCCAAATTATTTAACTTCTCAGAGCCTGGATTTTTCTCATCCGTAAAAGTGAGCTAATTCCTAGCTCTCAGGTTATTGTAAAGATTGCACATACTTCTGAGTGCACCACTTGGCACAGAAATGACCAGTTATTTCCTTCTTTGTCTCCTGGACCTTTCCCCTTTCCGCAGCCTCAATCAGCCTTTTAAAACTAAAATGCCTGAGATAGGAAGAAGGGGCACTGTTCTGCTGCAACAGAGACGGTTTTCCCCAGAGAACAGTCAGCGTCCAACGGTGATTGCCCCTAAAGTATCTTCTGTCATCCATTCCGTTTATCCATTCAGCAAGGCAGCCAACACATCTTATGAGGTATCTACTACAGATCAGGCACCAAGGATAACGACAGACATGGTTTCATGCCCTGACTGAACTTACTGTCCAGCGGTGAAAACAACCATTTAGAGAAGCAGCAGAGGGCACGTGTGACAACAGACGTGATGGAGAATGTTCAGATTCTAACTTTGAGCCTAGGGCGCTAAGGAAGGCCCTGGGGATCTAGTCCAGCTACTCTTCCTCTGCTCCACAGTGAAGGAGCCACAGTAAAAATCACACCTACGGTGAAATAAGTGAGAGACTGAAATGAGGAAAAGAAGGGGAAGGAACTTTGCCTTCCAACTGGGCTTCTCACTTGGCCTCCATAGCAGCTCGCAAAGGTGGTAAAGCAGGGTAAGCAGTTCTTCTCAAGGATAAAGAGTCAGTTCCCAGGGGGCCAAGGCCATTGCCCAGGGTTTCTGAATTCTAGCCCAGACTCTTCCCCATTGTACAGTGGTAAGTGGTCACAGAGGGTGTGACATAGAGGAATTTCCTTAAAATTTCCAACTGAGGATGACCCCATCATTAATTTCTTCATAAATAATGCTTCCTCGGAATTCTGTCCTTTACTTTTTCACTTCTCTTGCTACTCCAAAATTTCACTGTCTTTTTACCTATGTCAGAACATGCCACATTATAATTCCACAGGGCGAAGACTAGGTTATTTTCCTCTATATATTGTCAGTACCTGGCTTGCATTGATGATATAATTAATTAATTGACATATTAGCTGAAGTTAACTTGTGTTAAATCTATATAAACAGTTAATAAAACCTTAGCATTACATTGGATAGTCTTTTGTTAAGTGTAAGAAGTTCTCATTAAAA